AGTACAGTATTTATAGACTGATAGACTATGGGGGTAGACAACATCATGTTAATAGGTTGTTGTTAATTTTTTAGACTGTTTCATTTAAAGGAGCTAGTATGGCCCTTTCTGACACCCATTGCAAATTTTCCAAATTGTCTACGAAATCGGGAAAAACTTGGTTGATGAGGTCATCAATAGAAGTAAAAACTTTTCCAAGTTCGAGAACGCTAATTATGTCTGGTTCAACAACAACTGATTTCCTTCCGTTTGCAATGTTTTCCCGCACCCCCCTGGGGCGTCTAGAAAAAAATAGTTCTTTTGCTTTGTTCCGGACAGCTGTCATGAAATTGTCAAATACATACTACTCGTCTGATGTTAACAGTGCAAGGTTTCTCGATGCCCTTTGTCTTTGTTCTTCTACATCGTAGGTGATTTCTCAGCGGTAGTCATGCTGTACTCTCTCTGCAGCATCTCTTCGTACAATCGGAAGGCTAAAACAGCACCTGGACATGAATGGCTTGTGCTTCTATAAATAAATCATTGATGGGGTACAATCGGAAGTCCATATGAATCGAAACTTATATAAAGCACAGTCTTCAACCTGCAATAAAACAATATTGTCTGCTTCTTCTTGATTTATTGAGTTTCCATTTCCATACAGAATGTCTTCCGTCAAGCTTCGTTTATGCTGAATCCATACGTGAGTTATGTCGCTCGGATTGAACTGAGTAATAATGATGGCTAAAAGTGAACACATAGCTTGTGGTGTTGCACTCATTTCTGCCTCTTGCATAGTTAGATGCCAAGCATTGTCTCTGTCTAAGAGTCCATGCAGCATACAGGCCTCTCTCAATGTTTGACATATCATACCGTTAACAGTTTTCAGGTCATCGAACGAACAGGGACCACTGACATAGTGAAGCAGAAGTCTCAGGAAAAAAAACCCATAAGCTATTCGCAACATCTCAATCTCCCTCTGTATTTTCACAGAAAAGTAACTCTCTGTTAGCGATCCGCAACATCTCAACTGTAGGCGCCCAAAGAAGATTTATTACCGGCGGAAGAGCAATTTTTATATCATGGAAACGAAACATGCCTTGAACACTGCATTGAAATGACGAACGGGAAAATCGTAAACGGCTGAAACTGTTTCCTATTTTTCTAATTATTTTAGGCGAATGCAAGCACTTACTGAATTGATAGAAACCTAGCTTGGGCTTTGAACTACTTTGCGTAATTCTTTCATGATTCTACGTTCCGTAGTTTTTTCAGCTATAGAAAAAATATACGCATCTCTCTCTCTCTCTCTCTCTCTCTCTCTCTCTCTCTCTCTCTCTCTCTCTC